TTCAGGCTGGGGCTCTGAGTAAAAGATGATTTTTCAGCTTCAAAGGGAATTGATATTTGTGAGGCAAGCTCTGTTAGAAGAAAACTTCAGTTTGGCAACCACCATCAAGAGGGCAGAATTCTGGAAAGTTTGCATCATTTTAATGGCATCTGCCTTCTTCCTTAGAGAAGCCTGTTTCCTCTAGAAGAAGGAGTAGGGCTGGAGCCTTCTCTGTCACCTTCAAACAGAACCAGAAGGGATCATGGACATTGTGTTCTCCACAAAGACATCTGCAGCCAAAGTGCTCTCTAGTGATGACTTTTAATTATGAAATCAAATTATAAGTGTGCTATATTGTATTATCCTTGAGGAAAAAAGAAAACAGTAATCAGAAATAGTATGGAGATGGATAACCGGTACAAGAGAAGGAATTGCACACTTTTTTACATACGATTTGGAGCGGGAAAGAGTCAGTGTTTGCTGGGCTGGGAACCTCCTCTCTCCACTTCCTGAAGACCTCCCTACAATCTAGTCGGAATGAATAGAAACTGACCCATAGCTTACTAGATGCACAGATTGTTATATGTATTCCTTACAGTAGTCCTATGGGATTAATACATTGATGAGGTCAGACACAGAAAGGTACACAAGTACTAAACACTGCTCTGAAAACTCAGATTACCTGGTCCGGATAATTTTCTTGTTCTATGTCATGGGATATTTCAGATGCTCCAGACTCAGTTTCTCTTTGCAAATCTTTATAATTGTTATTATTATATGTAAACTTTGCAAAATAACTGCATTCACTCCAGGGAACTGGTCCACACACACAACCCATCTCAGTCACTTTACCTTCCTTCCCCCCTTCCGTCTCCCCTCATAACTTGGTGCTGGACATTTATTTGCAACCCCACTGCCTAGCTCCTCGGCACTGCTGGGGAAATCAGCATTAGCAGGAATTATGCTGTCATTCAATTTCTCTTTTCTACCTTTCCATTTTTCCCATCTAAACTGATAAGCATAAGAGTGCTGACACCATAAATCCCCAGTGATTATTTTTCCCTTGTAAACAGTAGTATGCCGAGATTAAATGAATTCATGTGCTCAGACTATCTCGGGAGCCATAAAGTACCATGCCAATGTTATGTGAGACTTTGGCTCACCAGTGAGGCGCTGAAAGAATGCCAGATGGCAAATATTAACTAAAGCACTTATGACACCATGGGAGCAGATGCCGAGGGAGAAGAGGGGCTTCCGCCCATGTACTTAGGAAAGTCGAATGAGGAATGACAGCAGGGAAAGGCTGGCCACATGGATGTCCCCGGTGCGTGAGATGAAGACAGAGATTTCTGTATTCTTGGAAGGCTACAGAGTGACAAGGAAGGCAGGTGTGCCTTGACAAGGCTCTGACCAAAGCTGAACGCACTCGTCAACAGAATTTTGTCTGAAGTGGCTGCAGGAATGTAAACACTGTGAACGTCCCCTTGAAGTCAATAACGAGCGCACGTTTTTACTCTGATGGGTGCTCAGGCATAAACGGAAGCAGAAGAGGAAATAAATCATGATGAAGGAACGATCGCAGATGTAACTGCTTTCCAGAATGAAGAGGCCTTTTTCTTTCTGTAAGTTTGTCACCTCGAGAATGCTACGCAGGGCCCCCGGTTTTCCTAAGGCGGGCAGCAATATCTGCCTCAGCAGGTCCCGTGGAGATCTGCGTTGACCGTGGATGTTAAAAATGAACCCCAGAACACAGGTGATGTCCATTTAATAAACTTAAATGTTGACTCCTGAACACTTTTATCTCATATATGTAGTGGGCTACACTTACTAGAGCCATTTGTAACATTTTGGATTTAAATGATTACAAAGTACGCATCTGTTTTAAAACAAATTCACTTAAAATTTTTAATCAATCCTTTTGTGTAGATATACTAAATGCAATCAATTACAATAGTTGTCAAAGTTAAGATTGCAATGGTTTCTAATGTTTAACTTCCCAGTTGTTCCACCCTAATTAATTACTAACGCATGACATTGTCCAACAGAGACAGAAACTAACCATTCGCTGTTAGGTTCAAAATACTGATTCTGAAAGAAATTCTGTGACTGTCAATCACTCAAAGTACGGTAGTAAATGCATAAAATATGGGAAGTCAGAAGTTGTGGTACAAATTTTAATAGGATCCTTGAATTTTTCAGTCTACTTCTATTAGTCCACGCGGACTGTACACAGTGATTACACTCGTCACGGGAGTCAGTGCAGCCCGTGACACATCTTGACTTTTATTTCCCCTTCTTCTCCCCAGCCTTGCCCCTCCTCCATCTCTTGTTTCCCTTCCATTTACGAACTGTTGTCTCCCTGTTTCCTATTGTCTATCTTTTATTTTGGTCTTCAAATTATTCCTACTTTGGGTTTCTCATATAAGAGAAACCATGAGCTATTGAATTTTTAGTTTTTGATTTATTTCACTTGACATTTGAGACCATAGTAGATAATAATAGTAAGCCACATTTTATTTTTTCTATAAGAAGTACTTAAGTCTAATTCATCATCTTTAGTAAAAGCAGCTCTGTTTACTCACTACAAAAGTGAGGACTAGGTAGCACGCACAGAGCGATCGGTCTTTTGATTTAATCAGGGTTTAAGATGCAGGAATGGGGAGAAAGGAAGTTAAAAGTGATAAAGCAGGACTTCAGTATCCACTTTCACAAGCACTGTGACAAATACTCAGAGTGCATAGAATTTTTTCCCATTTTTCTAGACTGGAAAGTAGGTTCAGAAAAGAATTACTGCCTTGGGCTAAGTCACAGAGAGATTAAAAAAAATTTCTTAATGGAACTCTGAAGGTGGTAAAATGTTCACTCAGATAACACTGGGTGTGTGTGTGTGAAGTGTCAGAGGCTGTCCTGGCAGCTTGGTACATGAAGTCAGTAAGGAAACGAAGGTCTTCATTCCACAGAGCTCAATTCATTCAGAGAAGATCGGCAATAAGTAAGTTGACAAATAGCCACCACACATTTTAGCCTGATGAGTGCTAGGCCATAAAAGGGCCAAGAAGAGGGAGCACATCATCGTGAGAAAAGTCACTTTCAATAGTCATGAAAAACCTCTCCAAAATGTGGGGATTCCAGCATCATCCAAGGGACACAAAGGAGAACTTTTACCACAGCTCTTCTTGGCTGAGACCCTGACTAGGAGTGAACTTAGCGTGGTCCAAGGATCTCAAGGTCAGGTTAGTGAGACTACCGTGAGTGAGAAGACTGGTGCGTCAGCCAAGGTCAAAGAAAGAAGGGATGAGTCAGACATGGTCTGACAGATGCTGAACAATCTGAGGCAAAAGATGAAATAATCTGGGTTTCCCTAAGAATGAATTTAGTATCTGATATAATCAATACACCTCAGATTTCAGTATTTCTTTGGTTGGTTATTATATAATTTTTGTTATATCCTTAAAAGAGTATTAATGAACAGAATGTTTGCAGAAGCATACACAGTTTTAAAAGAAAAAGAATTTAGTGACTGCCAGTCAACCCTTGCCATACTTCATAGGAGGCTTTGATGGTCCTATCTGTACTTGTGCAGACAGATTTTTCCTAACTAATTCCAATGGACACAGAGCGGGAAGCTCAGCGGTGTACTCTGCAGGCTTTGGACCTCGCTCACTCACAAATCTGTTTAGCACTGTGCAACACTACGAAACATAAGACAGAGACTCCCTCAGAGCACGGAGGTTCACACGGAGGCTTGAGAATGCGTCCTGGCCCTGTTCTCAGATTGATGCCCTTCCTCTGGGTGCAAGTCCTGTACATCGACAGAAACAAAACAAAAAGGAACAGGAAGCAAAGATTTCTCAGTGGGCTTATCAGGCAGAGGAATGACAAGAACTACCTCTACTCCTACACTGAATGTATGTCTTGTGCACTTCACCTCCAATTTATCATTTGTCTAAGGTTCCTGCTACCTACTAGACACCAAAACCACACATTCGCAGGGTGTTTTCACATAGCCATAAGTTTGCAATATGCTATTCCATCGTCTTACAAAGTAACATTTCAGTGGGCTCAGTGTGCTTCCACTTAGTTATAAATGTGTCTGGTTTCTCATTCCTTATGGCTGAGTAATACTCCATTTTATAAAACAAAAAACCAAACACATCTTCTTTACCAGGTCTCCAGTTGATGGGCATTTGTTTTTTCCCCCAAATTTTAGCTATTACAAATTGTGCCACTATAAACATGAGTGAGTATATATCACTGGGGTGTGATCCTTTTTAATTCTTTTGGGATTATATCCAGCAGGGTCAAATGGGGACTTCTGATCCTAGCTGTTCAAGGTATCTCCATATTGATTTTCATGCAGTGGCGATGGAACAGAGGCTAGGATTTTAATGCAACTGGAGTGTTCCTGTGTCGGGAAAGGTAAAAACATGCCATTTCATACATATAATTACAAACTTTCTGAGTTGAACAGATGGGCTATCTTAGCTTTTTTGTTGTACAGCTGACTCCTGTTGACTGGGGCCTTATCTGCCTACTTTGGTATCAGTTAGCTCTCAACATCGGCTCAGGGGCCATATGGGTTGTGTAGACAAGATTATTATGGTTTTGGTGGAATGTGGTGGTTGTCTTATGTTAGGCAATGTTATGAACTTGTTATTATTTTTCTCAGGACCCTAAGTATGCTTTAAGGAACTGTGTTTGGATGTGATGGTACCAAGAGGTGGACTGTGCTCATTAATTCTGACATGTCAACTTGAGTGGAGTAAGAAAAGCCTGGCGGATTAGTAAGCACACTGGTGGGCTCATGGGCATGGTCACCGTGGTGCGACTTTGGGTGCTTTCTGGTCCCTCCCCTGCTGTCCATGAACTAAGCAGTTTGCTGCACCACACCCTCACACCGTGATGTTTCTGCCTTGGTGCCAGCCGGCCCTGGGTTGAACCCCCTGAAACCATGAACCTAACTATGTCTCTCCTTGTTTCGATTATGACTCTTGGAGGTTCTGTGCCAGTGCTGAGAAAGCTGACTAATACTTGTGGGTTACATTGTGTCTGTCCTCTTTAGGATGAAAGTACAATGGGATTTATATATTTAGATATTTTTCCTTTGTGTGTGTTGGCTCACATGTTTCTGCTTCTATATCTCAATCTTGATTTGCTTTCTACATTGTTGAGTCTACTGGTGGTGTTGAACACTTAATTCATTCTGCAGCTCTAAGACTCTCCTATTCAGACCCAGAGACTGACCCAGGATTAGGGCTAAATCTCTCATTAAAAGCTTCTGATTTGTCCGTTTCCTGTGTAACCTCTACCTTTTCCCAAACAGCGGAAGGATACACAACTCCTTTTTCCTCAGCAGAGTGAATAAACCACTGAAGTTGTGGCAACCCCACGGCTTGTCCCTTTTTGCATGATTTTCACGCTATCTTTGCATCACAGGTATCTTCCCACACCCAATTCTACCACAGTCCCTTTATCCTCTGAAGGATAAGCCATACACTTTGAAATGTAAGATCAGTCCAATTCTGTGTTTCTGTTTTGAAGAATCTGTGTTTTAGGGGACTCCTGATATCAACGCCTCAGGCTTCCAAGGGAAAAATAAATGCACGCTTGAAAGGATGATTGGAAAGGAACGAAAGCACAGTACAAGGAGCCACTGAGTCTCCTGGAGTAGCCTGGGGGTAGCAGCACAGTGAAGCAATTACGACCTTTGGTTTTCATGAAATGAGAGGCAAGAGCCATTCCTGGATCCTAAGAGGAATCAAGCTACAAGCAGAAATCACCAGGTAAACATTTTGGCCTTGACAAACCTTCCAACGCTGCAGACCAGAAAAGAGGAAAAGTGATTTTATCTCACCCTTGACTCTCCCAAGGGGACTGCCATTCATCAAAGGCAGACAGGATACCCAAACATTTAATATTTCTGGAACGCTGTTGAGGTACTGAGGAAGGTTGAGATAGGAAAGTAAATCAAGAAGAATTAATACTATGTATATGGCAGTCATCTTTTCCTTTTGTGCAGACTACTGTGTGGCAAAATCCACAAAAAGTAGAGTGTTCCTCTGTGTGAATCATTACTTGTTAAAATCTAGGCTAAATTCTTATGCTCAAGCTCTGAAATTTAAGAGTGTAGGGGGCCAATGCAGGACCCTCATTTCACAGACACCCGGACGGTGACAGTCTGCAGTACAACAGGGAGGCATTAGAGACACTTGTCAGAAACAGCATTTAGTTATTGATTTCTTTGAACACAATCAGGCAAGATGGGCATTAAAATTACGTCAATTCAGTGAAATGGCTGTGGCATTGGGTATCCTAGGATTTGAACTGAACTGTCAGACATAATAACACACAGAATCCCTTGTTATGCCAGTGTTTCCCTTGCTATCTATAATATGAAAGAGTAAAGCTAAAACAAGCAGATTTGGGTGTAATTCATCTTGTCAAGTTTATTTTTTTAAATCTATTGTAGGTCATTATTACCTGGTTAGAAATTTAAATACAATCCTCAAAAGACATTCCAAGAAAATTTATGTAATCTAGCAATGGAATAAAAACAAACCCAAAACATTATTCAATATTTGTTGTATGATCAACGCTGTGATACAGACAATATTAGAGACCTGGGGAACTTTTATATTTCACTTTAAACATTAGTTAACTGAACACACACCACACACAGAGGATAAAAAACACACAATTCTCAGCAATGTTTTCTGTACAAAGGGTTTTCATGGATTTTAAAATAATTGCCATGTATCTCGTATTTTTCTATTCAATGGCATTCATGTTTAGATTGTACTCTCCTCACACTCGAAAGGAGTTGAAAGCCTATGTGTCTATCATTTTGCAAGCAAAAACCATAATATTTTAGAAAACAGTGAGGGCACAGAAACAGATGTTTTGTTGAGGCAGAAAAAAAGATAGGGTCCTGCATTTCAAAGGGAAAAATAAGCTTTCAAAACATCAAAAAACAATGATTTAGAACATAAAGTGTTTACTTTGAACCAGGTTAGAAATCCTGCATTATATTCACCCGTGAGAAACCCAAACAAGACCAAAATCTGGAGTGCAAACATCAAAGAATCAAACAGCATGCTGCAAACACGAAAAGACCTAGACAGGACCACAGGTGTACTCAGACACCAGAGTCAGGGTCAGTGCCTTTTCTGCATGGAAGAGAAAGTTAAGTCTGGTATGGAGATTCCTTACAAATGCTTTATACTCCACAATATACTGGTATAATGATGTTGATTTGATGAAAATAATTTATGCTAACAGAGCATGGGTTCTACAGGCCCAGTAAAAATGAGTGTGTGGGACTTTACTTTAAAAAAAATTAGTGCTTTTAAAATCATGAAATTATAAGCCAGGCTTGGTGGCACACACCTGTAATCCCAGCACTCAGGAGGCTGAGGCAGGAGGATCGCTGTTAGTTTAAGACCAGCCTGGGCAACATAGTGAGTTCCAGGTCAGTCTCAACTATATAGTGAGACCCTGTCTCAAAAAAAAAAAAAATCACAAAATCATACAAGCATCCTCTAATTAGGGGACTCTGGCACAAGTACATGGAGAAGCTGGGCTCAATCATTCTAAAGATCCTCTTGCAATTCTCATACAGCCTAAAGTTAAAGATCTACACAAGTTATTTGATTTGCTTTCTATATTCCAACCCCTAAAATACGTTTTCTTTTTTCTTTCCATCTTGCCCTGGCTTGTCTTCCAGTAGCGTGTTGAACAAAATTCCGAGAATGAGTATCCTTACCTTATTTCGTATGTTAGAGGAAAACCACTTAGGTTTGCTTCATTGACTGTGTACTTCTCCATTTCTGTTTGTCTGGTTCTTTACCCGGAAAGAGTATTGAACTTTGTCAAAGACTTTCTATGAATCTAGGGAGGTGATCAGGTAAGATTTTATCTTTTGTTTTGTTATTTGTTAATCTCATGCCTTGTAATGATTGGTTGTGTGAATTATTTCTTTGCTTATATTACTATTTGTAGAAATGATCACATTCATTGTGGCAAATGGATATATTTATGTGATATGTCTTAATTGCTTTTGTTTCCCCTTCTCTTCCCTCCTTCTTTCCCCCTCCATCCATCTCTAAATCTGCTTTCCATTAGCCAAAGATCAATGTCTCTATTTCCTGTCATGCATCTTCGTTTTGATCTTGAAATCACTTATACTTTGGGTTTCTCATATAAGAGAAGTCATGTGATGTTTAAACATGAATGCTATTTATCCCAGTTAACATTATGGTCTCAAGGTGCAGTCATTTTTTTTTATAAATGACTCATATTTCCCCTTCTTTATGGCAGAGTGGTAATCCCTTCTGTGCAATCAAATTTCCTTTAGCCATTCATCTCTTGAAGGCCATAGAGGCTTCTTACAAGATTTTTCTGTCATGACCTGGGCTGCCATAAAATTTGTTGCTGTGAACCATTCTTGTATTCTGGGGCTCAATCCAACTGTGCCATAAAGTATGATTCTTTTAATATACTATTGACCTTGGCTTGCTTGTATTTAGTTGAGAATATTCTGCATTCATCTGTATCAAAGATGTTGGTCTATAGCTTCCTTGTCTTATTATGCTCTTCTCTGGCTTTGGATTAAGGATATAGCTGCCTTAATAAAATGAGGTTGGAAATGTCATATTTTTTTATTTTTTTGGAAGAGTTTAATATTAATGTTTTAAAAGAATTTATACAGTTCACTATTCAAATCACCTGACTCTGAATCTTTCATGTTGGGGTTAAGTTTGATTTCTACTTCAGTCGCTTCCTTTGCTGCTTACCTGTTTGAGTTTTCTGTTTCTTTTGACTGAGCCTTGATGCAGTGAGTGTTTCTAGATTCCTTCTAAGCTGTATAATTTTTGGTGCAATAATTGTCATGATAGTCTGTGTATTCATGTCAGCTTGTTATGAAATCTGTACTATGAAGCCACATTAATCAAACAATATGGCACTAGCATAAAAATAGTCTTCTAGACACATCAAATGGAACATAGGGCTCAGAATTACATCCATCCATACACGAGTCACTAATCCATAGCCAAAATGCCATTGGTAGAATATGGGAAACCACTATTCTCTTCAGTAGATACTGTTGGAAAAACTGGATGGCCACATGCAGAAGAAAATAAAATATTCATTTGATGCTCAAAAATCAAGCCAAATTAGATTAAAGACTGCAGTGTAAGGTCTGAAATCCCAAAAGTCCCTGAAAACAATAGAAAGGAAAAAATTTGACAATGGCCTTGGGCATGATTTCTTGGACGTGAAACCAAAAGCACAGAAAACAAAAGGAATATGAACAAATGTTACTACATCAAACTAAAAAACACTAGAAGGGAACGGGAATGAAGAGGCAACCTATGAGTGAGAAACAACATTTGAAAATCCTTTTAAAGATTCATTATCTGAAACATAAAAGGACTTCTTTAAGAAGATGGCAACTTCTTTATAACCATGACAACCTGATTTAGAAAGGAGCAAAGACCCTACAGGGAAACTTCTTCAAAACAATACTCAGATGACCCACAGATAAATATAAAGATACACTATCACTCATCATGCTGTTGACAGAATTTAAGGCCACAATGAAAAATCATCTTATATTTACTAATTTGACTCTTCTACAAATGCAAACAAACAGATAAAAATTAATTAGTAGTGAAGATTTGGAGCCAAAAGCATCCTGTATTCCATTAGTCCTCAGGCCTAAATTGAAACCACTATGTACATAATAAAATAAATTGTATTAACATCAGTATGTGCTGATCATTTTAACGGGCTGACATTTAAAAAATAAGCCTAATGAGATCTCTTTCCCTTTCCTTTTTTCCTTGCCTCTGACTTGAGGTTTTTGGTTCACTGGCAAGGCCTTGAACTGTGAAATTGAAACAGAGTTTTTATTTCTTTGTGTGTTTTCAAAGATAGGAAAGAAATTTTACCAAGTATGAGGTATTTTATTTATTGGTTCTGAACAGGATGAGGAGGAAGGTGGTAAGCAAATCTGAGAAGAGCGGTCAGTATTCCTTCCTTTCAGTCATTTTCTGTTGCTTTTAGGATCTTGTTTCTCAGAATAGCATAGAGTAGAAGCAGAGTTCTCCCAAATGAAATCACTGGAAACTTGTTGCTTCTATTTCCCATTAAAGTCCATATTCGTATGTTTTTCAGATTCCTGAATTATTTTATTAAGTATCCTCTGTTCCATGGAAGGGTGGAGTAGATGGGGCCCCCTCAAGCCCCGGTATTCCTTACTGCAACGGGTAAATAGTTTCATTGGCTGGGTTCATAGCTTTCTCACAAGATGCTTTGAAAGTATTTTAATTTTTTTTGATAGAAGTGAATAATTTTAGATGCTAGGACTTTGTACCTCACCCAAGTTCTGTGATACCCAAACTGTTATACACTTGTATGTTTCCCTAGGTCTAGCCCATCTGAGCGTTACACCTTCAAAGCTATAATCAGATGCAAACTTGTACTACCAGCCTCTTTGTTTTTCCTTTGTTTGTTTGTGCACATGTTTATGTTTTATCCCAGCAGTTGTGTGTACAACTTAATCAGACTCAAGAGTTTAGAAAATGTAGCCGCACCCAAGAGGAGATCAAATTTGAAATTGAAAGTCTGTGCACACATGAGTAGGGAAAGATTTCAAATTTGACAAGATAGGAGTTTCAAGGCGATCAGGCTTGGCTTTATGTTTTTGACATACTTTGAGGAGTTGCAGAATTTCATTTGTAAAGTTTCCTTTGAAATCGTTTACGTGTTTTGGTGAGAGTCA